AGAGTATCTCACCACCAGCTTTAAATACTCCAACTCGAGTTGTCATCTTATAAGAAAAATTAGTTAATGTTATATTTCATAAATTTATGGCACATCTTAAGCATGATTACATTAAAAAAAAAAAAAGTCAAAAGAAAATGGAGCAAATAAGGAAGACGGTCCAATTTAAGAAGCGTATACTCTTGGAGAACATATAACATAATTAACTATAAAATCCCCTAAGCGATTCAAGTTCTTGAAATATTTGAAATTGAGATATGTCAATAAGTTATATTTGAAAAAGAATCTAGATACTGCTTGAAAGTCTCGGGATACTATACAGTTTCCTAGAAGGATCTAGATTACCAATTAGTTCGACCTTACATGTGAAATTATTCTATTAGAAATAAGTCATTTTTTAATTATTTATAGATAATTAAACATACAAGTCATTTTCCCTATATTTGAATACCGCAATTTGTAAAACGAAAGCGTAAGTAATGCAGTAATTGTTGACGGAGAAACCCAATTAGGTAAAAATTTCGGGACCAACCCAATTATCTCTACTATAGATAATGAACCTTACAGTTAGATGCTACCTAACCTACTCCACTAGACTTTCCAATCTATCTCCTGTCACCTCCAAGATCCGTTGACTATACCAACTTCCCGATATTCTGCAATTGTCTCTTCCAAGTAGATAACCAAGAATCACCAATTCTTATTCTTCTTATTGCGTTTGTAGTCCAACCTTCCTTAATTTTCAGTAGGCCCTGAAGTTCCAATTGAGAAAGTACCTTCCTTGTTGTACGAAGGAAGTGAGTGTTTTGGATTTTGGAACTTTGATATTTTTTTTTCAAAACTATGGTGGTATGATCTTAAGAAAGAATTGATTGAATTAAGGGTTGAATATATTATTGGATCTTCATGAGATGATATGAATGTATTATCAATTAGAGGCACAATGAACAACCAACCAAAATCGTGCAAGGCTTGGACATTTTATAGTTGGAGGTGTTTATGTAATATGGGCAATGTCAAACTCTCCAAAAACGCAAATTACGTTTTCCTATGTACCACTATCGCTGGAGTGAAGGAACAGTGATAAGCGAGCAAAGAGTTTGTCACTTGAGCGAAGTTTGGGTGACAAATGAGCGACAAGCATTCTATTTTTGCCTATCGGGCAATGTCTTGGGAAGAGGCAAACGAAATTGCAGCGACTCTTTTTCCTTATTCCAAGCTCGAATCCTAACCTATCTAACTCATCTATACAAAATTGCACCTAACTCCTTGACTTTACACATGTTCAATTTAGTCATTCTTTTCACAGAATCGCCGACTGCATTAAACCTAACAAACTCCTTATTTGGCATTATGTAACAAAACTATACAATAAAGCCAATGTAGCAAAATAAGTCAAACTAGACTACCCAAGTTACCCAAGCACCGTTTCTCGCATTCCTTGTTAAACCTGTTTCATGAAATAAAAAACTCAAATACCAAGTGTAAAAGCACGTGATATAGTTAATGTAACAATTAAAGAATGTAATCATAAAAAAGCATGCTAGAATGAGATGCAATACTAATGTCAATCAAAACACCAATCGAAACATTAATATTACCAAATATTAAAACTCAAACAGCAGCTATGCGTTATGATATGAAGTGCTGTGCAATTAATTAATCTCTTCCTTACTGCAAATGCTCATCATTTTTCATTACTCACATTATAGCAATATGAGGATAAAATATGTCAATGTCTTTCCCCAACTCCCCTAAAATGTAGTTCTCTGAAAAAACAAATTACATGCAAATGCAAAATACAACCCAATCCAATCGCTCTTCCTCGATGTATATTCTTTCCCCATTTTTGTCACAAATGATGTAAAGAATAATATCAAAATGCAGTTGATAGCTTGCACAAGTATAATTAATGATCGGTAAACCTTCCCACATACTCAATTTAAGTTAAGATGGAGTAAATTGTACAAATGATTCATGTGTGTAAATTGTTACTAATCCATTGTAAGCAGGACTCCAAATCTTAATTTTATGAGAAATGATATACTAACATCACTCTCAATAAGTCTATCCTTCTATTTATGAAAGTTAGACAATTTAAAGCACATTAGAACCTTTAAATGAAGTTTATATTGCAAATATATTTTTCTTTTATTTTCTTCCCATGACTTTTTGAGCATTTAGATACTTTTCACATTTTTCAATATTTTTAAAGTTCATCACACACACACACACACACACACATTACTTCTTAAATGCAGGTTCTTCTCCATTAAACGGTTAAGATGACCCTTGTAGCGAGTTTTAGGTCGATTATTCCAAGTTGGTTGACCATAGACACTAGGTTTTGAGACACCTCGCATGCTTAATTACTCAAGTCAAACAGGCTTCGAAGAAAAACATAAGGTATTGAACTTTTTATATAATTGGGAAATATATTTGAGTTTTAAGTCTAATAAATTTGATCAATTCATGTTCAAAGTCAGCTTACTAACATGCAACTATCATCCCAAATCCCACACACGCATTGAAGAGTTGTGGATTGAACAATATTTAACCCGCACTGCATTGAATAATATTTCATTTTCAGATATCGAGTTTTAATTGAAGAGTTGTGCATTAAATTGAACATTGGTGTAGAGTGAGCTATAATACATCTCGTAACTCTTACCTACTATTGAGGTAATTCACTGTCCACACTTTTTTTTTTTTTTGGGTCATGAAGAGGTTCTTTTTAAGTGCCATTTGCATAATAGTCTAGATTTGTTCTCATACATCACCAATATATCACAAAAATCAAACAACTAAAAACTTTAGTCCCTATTTGATCCTCATTCTTCAAAAAAAACTTATATTTTTTCTAAATTCATTTTCAATTATATATTCTCCTTCCAATAAGATAATTTTACATGTAATCCCGAATCTTTTTCTTACTTTTCAACATCATTCTGTAAAAAAATTACTATTTCAAAACCTATTAACCCCAAAAATAGGGCTTAGAAAATTGTATATACTGTTGTTAACCTACCATCACTATCACCATCACCTGTCATCAATGTTATCACCACCTCCAAAACCCAAATGTAACGCCACGTTTCTCTTTTCCTCATTTTTGCCAATATGATATTGCCTAATGATATGTGTAATGCTTAATTAAGAATTTATCGTCATTGTGACTAATAATATGTTGTATTGGATTATATCTTGAACATCCTATACGATTGACATGCCAATTAAAGCTAATTATAATATGCATACAATTCAATAAAATTTGAGATAAACTATAAGATGTACTTATTTTATTTTATGCTTATAATTTATCAACCTGCCATTTATATGTATAAAGAAACTAGGTATGTTCTTAGAATTTTTCATTTTTCCTTTCTAAGTTAAATCTACTTAAGTTAATTAGTTGTAAATAGAATCAAATTGGGACTAAATTAGTTAATGGAAGCAATTGGTTTTCATCAATTTAATCAGCATAAGTTACTCCTAGTTAGATACCATGAGATTAGATGTAAAAAGTTCTCTAAATTTATACATCTTCCCTATCAAAACCAATGTTTCAACCCATAACCAAGAAAAAACGTCCAAGTCAAACTCTCATCCCCCCCTTTTTTTTTTCCTCTCAAGTTTTTAATGAAGTGTTTCTACAACTAAAACAAACATCCTATGCCCCATTTGAAAAGCCAATCATGCTACACTGCTATTTTGAATAACATTCTAGATTACAAAAAACTCACGTGGCAGAATTCCATTGAACTATTTAAAAAATAGTCAACAATGTTATCGAAACATTTTATTTACACATCATTTTCTATCAACAAAGATTTCAAATTCATCTGGCTTAATTCTTGAAAAGCAAACCGAAAGGACCTTAAAGAGAATTATTGGTGAAGGGAGATGCAAAGTAATTTTTATTTTCATTAATATTGAGGTAAACTTCTATTAGTTGTTTTACTATATTATTTTTAGGATAAGATTGTTGATATGCACGAACATGTTATCATAGGTAGTGTATATAAGTTGTACGTTGGTGTTGATTCTCATAATTCATAGTTGTTAAATTAATGTTGTTGCTTTATCTTTTGACTTCAAAGAATTTTTGAATTGTACTAAAAAGTAAATATTTGGGATGACATTATGTTGAGATGATTCGTATATATATTAAGTGTGATTTCTTGAAAATTCAGATTTACCAAACCCATGTTTGATTTTATATAGCACTTGTACGAAATCATATTCTTTGATCGAAAATTTGGTCGTTGCTTGAAAGTCTTAGTTTTGACAATTTTTAATATATACTAATTACCTTATACTTATCTGATTTTTTTTGCAATAACGTTCATCTATAATTTAGAAATGATCATAAATTTTAATGAAAGCGTCTATTAAAGAAATTAATTTATAAGTATTTTCCAAATTTATAATTTAGGCTTTGCAAAATTTGTACATGACCTAATATTAGGGATGTCAAACGGGCCAAACGGCTTGTCAAAACCCGACTCGTGGACGGCTCTGGCTCAATCCCACGAGCCCGCAAGCAGCTCGTGGGCAAACGGCCCACGAGCCATTTTGACGAGCCCACAAGCTCAGTTTGTGGGCACGTAAAAAAATATGAATTTTCTTTTTTTACAAAATGTGTAAAATTACCCAAAAAAAAATTAAAAAAATCGAGAGCTCCTGAGCGGCTAGTGGGCCCGGCCTGGCCCGAAAGCTCGTGGGCCGAGCCGAGCTCCCCCCCTCCTCCTCCTCCTCCTCCCGAGCAATGAGCCGAGATCGAGCTCGTGTCTTAAAAAACCGAGCCGAGCCATCACTAAATATGTGTCTATCAAAATAGGCTTCCAATTTATGGGATAAAATGCAATAAAAGTAAAAGTTGGAGGACTAAAATGACTGATCAAAAGATTGAAGACGAAATTGCAACACCGGAAATAGATTAAGGACCATTAGTGCTATTTTCTCTTTTGCGGCCCTGTCCATGGCGACGTCACAATTTCTCCTACCCCAATACTGATTCTGTAGTCCCTTACCACCAGTAAACGAACGACGTCGTATAGCAATGGCGAATCAAGGAGCAAAGAAACGAAAAGAGGAAAACACCCGCCACATGCGAAACCTCCTCCGCCTCATTCTCGCCTCTAACGTAATCCAAAAACCCTCTAACCTACTTATTTGTTTGCCGGTCTTGTTAATTCAATTCGATAAAATTTCGTAATAGGCGATATATCTTGTAATAAGGGTCGGGATTTTTCACTCCAGTTTCACATGGAAGCATTGGGCTGGCTTGATTTTGACTTCATTAGCCTATGTTATTCCGTACAAGCAGCTATCCGCGATGGCAAAGCCTAGTTACGGTGACGATGGGGAGCTTCTGGATGGGGGGTTCGATATGAGTACCGGTGGCATTTGTGGGTATGTCAATTTATTTGTTACCTGATTTTAATTTTTATGGGTTTTTTGCTGGGGTTTCATGATATTGTTTTAATTGTGTTGATGTAAGAAGATAGTATGAATTTATGATCTCTTTTTTGTGGGTAATTGGACGGATTTAGGTTATTTTTACTAAATTAGATCAACTGTGATACAAATATTCATAGCTCTTGTTTGACCTTTTCAATTTCAAGGAAAATATCCATATCGTGCAAGTAATCCTGAAATTAGTTCTGAACGAAATGAACTTGAGTCATGGAGAAGGCTAAGAATGTAATATAGGATCATAACTGAAAGTGATTGATTAAGGATTCTTTCATCTCTACCCTAAGTAAACAACAACCCAATATTGGATTATAATAGAAAGAAGATGTGACGATAGCCCCCAGAAATATTGATGCAGGATTACTGATCTTAGAAAATTTGAATTGTGGAAGAGGTAGTGTTTTTCTTCTAGAGCATGCACATGGGATTTGATACTCTAATGCTTGATCATTATTTGATCATGACATGAATCTGTGAATGGTGTTTGTGTGATCTCTAGTATACATTCACTGGTGTTACTTAACAGTCCATATAGTACAGAAAGTAAGTGTTGATGGTATTGTTGTTTTCTTTTCAGTATGGAAGTCATCTATCTGTACACTGGTGAGCAAAAACTTAGTCTCTGCTTGGTGTAGATTAAAATCAGATTTCAGTGGATTTTGATAAAAGTTGACGAAATGTGTGGTTAGAATTTATTGTTGACTTCGACTTTAGATTTTTAGCAACTTTTAATCTAGACCAAACAGGGCTTAAATTGTTTTATGGGTTTTTGTGGAGTTTCATGTTAATTTTTAAATTGTGTTGAGTGATATAGGAAGTCGAGCATCTTATGAGTTTAAGGATCTCTTTTTAGGGGTAATTGGACAAAGTTACATTATTTTTGCTAAATTTAATTTTCTGTAATGCAACAACTCAGAGCTATTTCAAGGAAAATGGCCAATATCAATTTTAATGAGTAATTTAAACTACAGACTAATTTATTTAACTGTAGATTACTGAACTTAGATTACTGAACTTTTATGAACAAAGGACTTGCTTTCAGTACTAGATAATGAAAACATTGTTAGACAATACTGTGCAAGAAAATCCTGAATTGAGTTATGAACGAAAATGAACTTGATTACTGAATTGTAATAAACAAAAGATTTACTTTTAGTAATGGATAATAAAAACAATGTCAAACAATATCGTTCAAGTAAATCCTGAATTGATTTCTGAACAGAAAGGAAATTGAGTCACATAGAAGGCTAATAATATAATATTGGATCTAAACATAAGTGATTGATTAAGAATTCCTTGCATCTCTAAAGTAGCAACAACCTGATATTGGATTATAATAGAGACAAGATGTCACAACAGCCCTAGGAAATATTGATGTATGGTCTTTGATCTTTGAAAATTTGGAATTTGGTAGAGGTCATGTTTTTCTTCAACATCTTGCACTGGGGTTTTGATACTTAAATGCTTGATTGTTATTTGTTCATGACATGATTTCATAAATGGTGTTTGGTTGGTCTATAGTATACATTCATTGGTGTAATTTATCAGTCCACATTGTACAGCTCTTTCTGGGGGCATAATGAAAGTTAAACTGTCTTATGAACAAGTTTCACAATCAATTTGTCAGAATGCTTATCATGTTCTATATTGATGGGCATCAATGAAGGAGAAGTTTTGATGCTCAATCTTCATGGATTGATTACTGATAAAGGCAGAAGCATCTTTTAGATTTCATTGACTGTTTTTGGTTGTAGTTATTAATATGCAGAATAGGTAGGGAAAATCAAGCTTTTATGAGCTTAATGAAGTTGTGGTCATTATATATAAAATTCAAGCATGATAGAGCTATTTCTGAGATGTGATAATAGGAAAGCAAGGACATTATGCTATGAATATATAATTTTTCTAATCCCGAGGGATAGCTCAGCGGTCAGGCCTTGGATTTGTTTCCCAATGGTCACCAGTTCGAGTCCTCTCAAAGCCACTGAGGTGAGTATTTAACTGTAAACTTCAGGGCCCTGTGGGATTAATCGAGGTTCGCGTAAGCTGGCTCTAACACCCACCACGATCATCAAAATATATGCATATATTTCCTGAGTCTAAAACAAGGGTAAACAGTCCTAAAAAATGAGTTACACACTATTCTTTTTACTTGCTTACAAGGTTCCCCAATTTACGGACAATATGATGTTCTTCTTCAGTATAGAGATTTCTCTTAGCCTTGAAGTTTTCTGTTTATGTGTTCTAAACATCATATTCTGTTTATATGCCTTTTTTCTGCATAGAACAGTTTTCATAGAGATGACTAACAGTTTTACATTCTTCTGCTTTTTCTTGCAGGTATTTACATGATATAATCTACATTACATGTTTTGTCCAAGTCACTTCCATTATTTCTGAAAAATTTTGGTACATATACTTGGTGGTAAGATCCTTATTTAAAATTTATTTTTACTATACACTCATTTATTGCTCCTAAGGAAAAAAAAAGGAAAAGAAAATAAGAGCAGGTTTTGCTGTGCAGTTAACATCCTTTTTATCCTTTTTTGGAGAAAGCCAAATTAAGTTGTATTTTACCTTAATTATAAACTTCCCACGAGTGTGGTAATTTAAAAGCAATAGTACTATCAGTATCCATTGCTATATATTGCATTAGCAAGCAAATCGACGTTAGAACTGTATAGGTACTCCTGGTCGTAAAATGAAACCACTGGCATAATTCTCTTGTGAAACTGTTGGTGTTGAAAAGAATAGGCACGAGTTTTGGTGGCCACTGCAATACTGATCAGCTGAGCATATATCTATTCTACCATTTTCCTGGTTCACCTAAAGAAGATGAGAAGAGATACCTGATGAGATTTAAAGAAGGTCCTCATTCCATACAAAACCGAGATACATTGGTTTTCTATTTTTAACAATCAAATTGACCAAATGAGTATGCCAGCCAGATTAGGACTATAATGATTTTTGTTATAAAGTTATCTTGCATTTCATGATACCGAGATTGCTTTCTCTGGAAAATGGACCGCAGTTCATTATTGTCGATCTCAAGTTTGTAGAAAGCTCTTCTTAGTAGGAATATAAGTTTGGTATTGCATGTCTGAGTCATTAATTTCCTTGACATATATCAATGATCTGGAGTTGTAGACTGATGTCTAGCACAGCGTAGTTTGAAGGTGAGTGGGGCTCAAGATTAGTTTAATAAATCAAGCAATAATTCAGTTTGATGTTGTCATGTTTCTTGAAATAAACAGTGCTAGACCCATTAGGAATTCTAATTGTTTAAAGTCTAATGAATATTTGAAGAGAGTCCCCATGCACACACATGGCGAAAGTTGAAGTTTGGAAATCTAATTGAAACACGGCACACGTTTATATCCGCTTGGAGGTCTTCGTAACTGATTGGATTATCTTTTGCTGTTTAGATACCGGGATTCGCTGCATACCAACTCTGGGGACTCGTTAAGGGGTTTCTGCCTCAGGGTTCAGAGGTACTCCACTCATCCTGGTTTTTTTTCGTTTTAACAGTCAGTAGTACGTGAAATCTTGTAACTGTGTTGGGCAAGTCTGTTCTCATAGCATTAGAATACTCTTGCAGGGAGTAGATGAAGATGAGAAGACACGAAAAAAGAGAGAAAAGATGGAGAGGAAGGCTTCAAGAACCAAAATTGTCAGGACAAGGACTCGATAATAAGTAGTTCATGATTCCAAAATGAGTATGGCAACTCGGGACCAGGTCGTTGTAGTTTAAAATGTACTAGCTCTTAATGAGTTCTTTTGAAATTTGATTTTCTTCGCTCCAGAACTAGTGATTCACAGCATATCAACTCTCTTGTTTATCGTTAGGGATGATTGCAGCTGCTGTTACAACCTTTTATTTTTCTCTACACTTTATTCAAATCTTTCATTTTTGTCACCCAGTCCCTAACTTTTAATTTAGTTGCAGCTGTTTGTTGACCAAAGTCAACTATTTGACCAAATTTTTACTCATTTTAAAGCGAAACCTCCCGTTTGTTTCCTATTATTTGCCCATTAAAATAAAAAATATGACTGTTATTAATCACATCAAGCTATCAAATTTTGAATTTCTATTTTTTGTGTGGAGTTCATAACGACTATATTTTTCATTCTCATTCTTATGAAAATGGGTACCAAACAAGGCATAAAATGGTAACTTTACATTATGCCATATAAAAGAATTAAAATAATTAAATGAAAAAAATAAATAAATAAATAAAAATTCAAAGAAAATTCTTCTTCTTCTTTCACTCCACTCCCAAAACCAAACCCACATTCCACCGTGACCACCTTCCACCCCCCAAAAAGAATGAAGTTACCCTACTGCGCATCACCATTGCCTCTGCCACAAATCTCTTTTTTCTCGCCCAGCAAAATCACAATTTCTTATTTCGGATTACTTTTTCATTGTTTTCGACGAAAGGCAAATTTATGCGCTTATTTTTGTAGATACAATGTTAATTAATTTACCAATGAGAATAGTCATTAATGTATTTTCCCTATAAATGTCGCTGCAGATTGATGGTGTAAAATTGTACGTTGGACTGCCACTTGATGGTATCTCCGATTTTGCTACAATAAACAATTAGCGGTGAACGCAGTTCGATTTGGACAGTTTGTGCTATATTTTTAACTCAAACCATTTTATGTGGTTTGAAATTTTTTCAAATCAAACCAAACCATAATTTGCTGTTTGATTCAGTTTTAATCTGCGGTTTACCTATCGACATTATAGTAATATATTTAATATAAGTTAACATATAATTTAAAACGAGAACTAATAATGTTAATGTTAATGTTAAATTATATTAATATATACCATAAAACCCATGAATAAATTATTTTCAAAATTGATTGTTGATGTTAATAGAATAAATACATCTTTCTTTCTTTTTTCTTGTTTGACATTCATATTGTCATATAATGATTGGTAAATATAGAGTTACATTCTATTATTATAGTTTGGTTAAAACTCATTTCGTTTTACTAGTGAGATGTTAAATAAGGATTGAATGAGATATGTTTAGATGTACAAAGATTGATACAATTTCAGCTTATTGGAAATTAATGAATTTCATTCTCTAACTATTTTATGAAAGTGGAAGGTAGTAGTACTAGTTAGAGAACTTTAACATTTTCACACAATTAATACGTTATGTGCTTCGTTCTTTCCAAACCTCAAACAAATTCTTTAATCATTTAGGTATGCAAAAAGTTATTTTTCTATCTAAACCACAACTCACAAATATATAATAAGTTCAAAAACAACAAATAAAGAAGAACAGCAGAAAAATGTCTTGAATAATAATCTAAGACTTATTGAAAGAGAAGAGAGAAAGAGGCGATTTACATAGAAATTAGAAGATTAATAGGCAAAGACGATTGACGATTCATTCAGCAATGACAGACAAGCGTCAATGTTAGGGAAATGAGAATTTATGTTAGGGCTTTCTAAACTTTGGACGTGATTTCCTGACATAGTTTTGTTGAATTATGGTTTGAATTGTTGAAAATGTTTTTTTTTTTTCATATGATTTTAGAATGATTTTAGTTTAGTTTAGATATGGAGTGAAGATATGTGTTGTGAACTTGTTAAACCATAGGATAATACTGATGAACATAATTTGCTTTCCATAATTATTTCAATATACTGATTGTAATTTGCATTGCTTAATTGGTATTTTATTTTAAAGTGAAAATTGTAAAATTTGTAATTTAATAAAATTAATATTTTAATTAAAAATTTTAAAAACGATTCAGTTCAATTTTGTGCGGCTTTTGAAAATCAAAACTTAAACCAAATCATTTTGAAACAGTTTGGTTCGATTTGAGGGTAAAAAATCACTGGTCCACGTGGATTCGAACCAACGGTTTCAACTCAACAATTTCATTTCGGTTTGCAATTTCATGATTTTTTTGTGCAGCCCTATAAACAATGCACGAGCAATTGTTGGGAGTTAATTGCTTGAATACAGATTAAACTTTGCATAATGTCACATTTCACCCATTGTTCTTTAGTTTGCAGCATATTACTCATCGAACTTTGTAAAGTCACACTCCATCACTCATTAAGTAACTTTCATCTATGCCAATCGCCTACATGGATGACGGATTTACTTTTGCTCGTTAAATAAACTCGAATAGAAAAATGAATTGCCAAGTCTCCCAAACACATCTCACCCTTTTCAACACTGAAATCCCAAACTCGAACCCTAATCTCTCTAAAACACTTGACCAATTATAGCTTCGAAGGTGAACTTTTGTAAATGCCATGAACCCACCCTAACTCAAAATCGAACCTCCATTACTATCGAAGGCCACACCCTAACCATGAATCTTGGGGATTTCAAAAAGTGCACAAAGAGGGACCACATCGAGGTAAATCCTATCATATTTTTTCTTTTTGTTTCTTCTTTTCATCTTTACCGCACATGCTATGTTTGTATGAAAATAAGCACTTGATAGCATGAATCTTGGTTTTTTTTTTTTTTTTTTGTTTCATCTTTTTTCCTCTTTGCTGCACGGATATTGTGGTTTATCTTAATGTTTAAAAAAATTCGTTATATCGTTCTCATTGTTGACTTTCTTGTCCATCATTTTCCATTTCATACGCACTTGATTACAACATTGTTTCTTTCGTTGTTGTAGTTGTCTGATAGATAATTTTCTTGCTTTTGCTACTTTTTATATTGTGCATATTATTCTTTTAGTAAATCAGTTAGAATAGAAAGTACATATAAAACTGTTGTTGATCATTTTCAATTTCTTATTTCATGATGGATACGGAGGATGACACTGACTTCAATGATTTTGACAAAGACATATCGCCTGGTACAAACAATATGCAATTTGAAAAAAATGTGAGGAGGGAATTGAGTTAGGTTGTGATAGAGGCAATCGAACAAGAAGAAGAGGATAATGCGGTAGTGATACACAACAAATACTAGGAGGCCGATGATTTGGAATATTTATAATCTGAAGAACTATTGTCTGATATGTCACATGACGATGAGGTTGGATGTCGATTTTCAAAGTTTATGGCTAAAATAGATATGCGCGATCCAAAGTTTCAAACAAGTCAGTTGTTCAGTCTGTACAAGAATTTAGGAAAGCGATTCGAACTTATGGTACAGTAAACGGATATAATGTGAAGTGTAAGACAGATGACAAAAGAAGAGTTCAAGGCATCTATAAGAGTGCTGATGGAGAATGGGCTTTTAGGATAAATAATTTAGAAACCGCTCAAGTGAAGTCATATACGCCTCAACACACATGCTGTAGAGATCAGTACAATCGTCATTGTAACTTAATTTTCATAGTCCATCAACATATGGAGCAATTTAAGGCAAATTCGGAGTGGAAAACCCAAAAGTATGCAAGCAACTGTGAAAGAGAACTTGAATATTAATATTACTAAAAACGTCGCTTGGTAGGTGAGAAGATATGCGAAGCAATTGTGTAACAAGACTATCAAAGAACAGTTTGTGGCATTGAGGTCGTATGCGGTAGAGGTCTCGAGGATCAATCTAGGATCCATAGTGATGATAGCATTTAGTGGGCATGTGTTTCAATGTATATATATCTGTTTTAGTGCTTACAAATTAGGATTTCCACATGGGTATAGAAAAATCATTGGAGCGAACGAGCCATATTCGGGTGTTTGGGGTGGTATTTTGCTCATCGCAATTGGCCTAGATACAATGAGTGTATCTATCTAGTTGTTGTTGTTGGGAATCTATTTAACATGCGCAACGAAAAATTAAAACGATTTTCGATTCCCACCACAGATCTCTTTGTGTTTAGATAGAAATTGTAATAAAAGTGATACATTTTCTAGATCTACAAACCCCTTTGTTTTTTCTTTGTTCCAGCAACCTTGATCTGCCTCCCACAGCTGTCCAATTGTCCAACCTCCAACGGTGATCTAAACAAAGAACAATATTGTAAGAGTAGAGTTTTTTTCTTGTGTTAGCAAGAATAATGAATTCTCCACAAATCACAAACCCTACCCGCTTATTTATATAAACCCAAACGAGCTTGGCCTGACTCGGTCCAACATTTAATTAAGCTATTTAACTAAATTCGATCCGTGAATTAATTAATCCAATTAATTAATTCGAGCCTATAAATAAGAAGCTCAATTAATTAATTTATCAACGCTTGTTAAATTAATTAATTGACAAATCACAATTTTTCAGTTTTCCTTTTGCATGCGACCCATTAGGTTCCCGATGACGATGCCTAACGACTTGAAATATTATTTTGATCTAATCAAAATTGATAAGTTAAAGAACTCTTTTAATTTATCACCAATTCACACTCGTCATCCCAGATTGACATCTAGCAATGTGTCAGGGCAATACATGTGACGAAAAATGTCACTTGGTATGACAAAACCAAACTTGTTCGTTTATCGTGAAATTATAATCTCTTCGTCAATATGATCCTATCAATTACGAGATATGGAAATGTGTCAATCCCTATTATCGATCATATCTTTCACTCCACTATTAAGTCAATATAAGTCGAAAAATCCTTTTCGACTTATGAGTACACCTCGGTCAAGGATTTCGTTATTGACTCAATTGGATGAAATGCAAATCATAATCTCTTACTATCTAAGAGTAACGAATCCTCTATTGGTCATTCACAACCTTCATATGATTCTCGACATACCCGAACGATGCCATATTAGCGGCCCTTTGCAGAGCAACATCCAACGCCGTTAAAGTATGAATGTCCACATATAAGGCATTATGATGATCTCAAGTCAAATGACCAATTTCACTACTGAACGTTAGAGATTAACCACTGACACTCAGATAGTTATCAGTGTGGAATCTCTCGACGAGTCTCTAATGTTTTGTTCTATAACAAAATATCCACGTATTCATTCAAGTTTCACCACACTTCAGCTTGTGAGATCAGTTACTTACAAGTAAGAAATGTCGCACGTGATGGTCTATTCGTAATGACGATATCCGTATTTCGTTATTATTTACAACTACGGACGATTTAAGATTCAATCATGATAAGTGTAGTTTCTACACTTATTTGGGATCTTAAATAATGATATTTTGTTATTCTTTGAACGGATTAGTACCTGATTTGCTATTTATTGCTTTTATTAGGAAAAGTTCATGTTTCAAAGAAGAATTGGAAAAAAGAACGGAAAATGGCTAAATAAAGCAAATCCAAAGTATGGGGACCAAAGTGTAAATATTTAATGGTTGATTTGGACCATAAAAGATACTTTGAAGATTGATAGGAGTCAATTGAATGCAAAGGGATATGATTAGAATATTACCATAAATCGACCTTCAATCATATAGGATATTTTCAAGATTTTTGGTCAACTTGAGACCCATTTTTCGAGTGGAGAACGTTTGAATTGGAAAAATTGTAGATCTTTTAATTATCTTTCCAATGCACTTTGAATCACCTTAATCGGACACCGAAAGAGAAAGTTATGATCAAAATATTAAAGGCTGTGTAGAGACAAAATTATGTGCGCGCGAATACAACTTTCCTTATTTGATTCAAACTCTTTTGAAAAATAATTTGGACGTAAGTTTTGACCTAATTTCATCAGAAAAATACAAGATATGGGAAGCAATGAAAGGGTCTCTCTCTTGCCTCTTCATACACAATAGTTTCATCAAATTAATCAAGAACAAGGGGCCAATTGCTATATTTTGGGAGAGAAGATCAGCCATAGCAAGGAATTGAAGTTCAATTACATCAAGTTTTGAAGAATTCAACTTTGGACGTGAAGATCAAGACTTTTGTATTCTTTCATGATCCGGGTGATATTTTTCTATTATTCTTCTTGAAATTTATATATTAATATGCTAGACTAGTTTTTCATTGTATTGGATGAGATGAACCCTATTATTTATTTATTTTAATTCAAGACAAGTATTTAGTTTAATTTGTATGTTACTTGATTAATTTTGCATTCCCATTGCACTATTGAATTGTTTGGTCATCAATTGAATAGTTAGTTGCTTGTTGTAGTGTAGGAAGACTCACAATGAGTCTAGAACGTGGCAAAATTAACACGTATAGTTAGGATTAGGAATAATATATATCATACATGCAATCATATTGATAATTTAAACTAAATACATGATTTTCATATGAATTCGGATTAGGAATAGGATCGGGTCGTGTTAATCATAGGTTGGTATATCTTGAAGAAGAACATTTAACATATTAGTGTTATCGATTGTTAAGAACTCGAGAAAGAAATTAGATTACGAATCAAAAATTGAAATAAATAGCAATAGGCGGAGTCAAAATCCAATACAATCCTCCATAATTTGATAAAACCCCAATTTTTATTGCCTTCTTAGATTAGTTTAGTTTAAATCAAATCAAAATATTTATTTTATTTTCATAACTAGAATTCCATACGAAACTAGTAAACTTGAATTAAATTTATTTTTCGTGGGACGATAACTCTTAACTCACTTATTATTACTTGTCAACGATCCCGTACGCTTGTGGGTATAATACGAACAAATCATATGTAATTTGTATCTCACAATTACAACTCCTTATGATTAACAAATTACGAAAATTTGAATTTACGGACTCTATTATGTAATTTAATTGCCTATTAATTAAATAATAGATCTGTCATTACATTATATTAATTATATATTAAAAGTATTTACGTCCAATGTTGATTGGATTTAGGGCATAACACTTACAGTTGTCCAAAAAGAGAATACAGTTGCGTGCAGACAATTTTTGAAATATCTGGCTAAGGATATTTAGATGAAAAATAGGACTGATTGGACTGTGATGACAGATAGGCAAAAGGGACTAAGTAATGTTATTGGTAAGTTACATCTGAAGACAGAGAATGGGTTATGTATCAGACACATGTACACAAGCTTTTTCAATAAGGGATATAAGGGCAAGACATTGAAGAACTTGCTTTGGCAAGCTGCTAAGTCAACTACATTAGCTGACTGCAGACATGGATGCAACAAATTCGTCAAGTTAGTGAAGAAACTTATAAATGACTGATGGAGAGGCCTCCGACCGAGTGGAGTAAATCTCATTTCAGGACACGTTTAGAAAGTGATATTTTATTGAAAAACTTGTGCGAAGTTTCTAATAAGATGCTGATAGATGATAAGAAGAAGATGATTGTAACGATGCTAACAGATATGGAGTTGGAGTTTATGACCATGATTGAGAATCGTCAAAGTAAGGTAAGGATGTACGGAGGGCAATTGTTTTCAAGAATAAAAAAGCTTGCTAAGATAGATGAGATGTCCAACGAATGCATATTTCATTTTTTAGGAAGGCCTAAATGGCAGGTAGATTGTAGGTTAGGGACATATGTCATTGACTTGGAAGAGCAGAGTTGCGTATGTAGGAGGTGGGACTTGATGGAATACCATGTAGTCTTGCCGTAGTCATCATACGGAAGTGTAGAAAAAAACCTGAGTATATGGTCAACTGCTACACAGTGGATATGTCTCTGAGATGCACTGATAATATTATGAATCCAATTAATGGGATACGATTGTGACCCTAGCTAGACACTCTACGTCTCTACCCATCATGCCATCTTCATGGACTCCTCAGCAATGGGAAAGAAAGCAAAAGAGAAGAAGGAGACAAGCGGACAAAGATATTATCTCACTAAGGGAAATCGCATGTTAAGAGAAAATGAAAAGTATCGATGACATGCTCAATATGTGAATTACATGGTCACAATAAAAGGTATCACTCAAGACCTAATGCACCTTTTGATGTAAGTACTTAATCAAAGGTTTATTGCTTATTTCAAGTCAAATAACAATTGATTAATTTTTTTTCCTCCTTCTCCAGGACTGGTACGAAGGACAATTGTAGCCAGTTGATTGGAAATGGCACGCGCCAGGAGATTTAAGGAGACACGTAAGTGCTTAAATATTCTTTAGGCATGTGTGTGATTTACCGAGTTTATAAGTTTTTTGCTAACGTATATTCATTTTTATGGACAGAAAAAACTTCTTCCCGACCAAGGCAATGGAGCTAGTTCGAGCCAAATACATGAGGAAGTTTATAGCTTTCAATTCACGCCCACTCTCGACGTCGAGCAGCAATCTGAAACTGTTGTTGCGAGTGATGGGCCAGCTGCTCATGTCCCTACTGTTGATTATACGAATGTGGAGCATCGTTAGACACACAAGTATGGACTGAGCAAATCCAACTTCTAGAAATGGATGATGACTTCACACAACAACAATAGCAAATGCTACGGGACGTGGCTGGACATCCAATTTTTATAGGCAGCATGAATCTCTTTGTGTAGTGTTTGATGTATTTTTGTGCTGGTTGCTGCTTGTTTAGGTAATGAACTTAGGAAACTGGTGTGGATGTTGTTTGTACTGCTGGTTTTTATTTATTATTTATTTTTTTGCGAAGACAAGAGCAGATGTGTTTTATTGAAGACAATGACTTGATTATTGCTGCTTTTTTTTATTTATTTTTTATAATTTCGAAAAGGAAACTGGTGTTTTGTTATGCCGCCCTTAAATTTATGTTCGAGGAAAATTAGTGAACTGAATGTTTCACTTCTTTCTATTTTTGTCTCTTTGATTAGTGGAATACACACTCAACCAACATTTGACAAATTGATGGTGATCAACATCAGTCATATTCACGTATTTGAATACAAGTTTAAACTAATTACGCTACTGATAGACACCAGTACATCACAACATCAAACATCAAAGAGAAGCAAACTTCACCAATTTAACATCAAAAACACGTAAAATATAAAGCATGAAAAGTCTAGTTCTTATTACAAAAACATGAAATTTAAAGCAATTCTTCTCCTCCAGTACATAGGTGGAATACATTCATGACCCTCTTCTCCTTTGTTTCCCACTCTCTTGCATGTTTCCTTTACCCTTGTGGATGGTTATGTTGAGTGATATCTTGACATCTTCTTGTTCGGTAATTTGAGCAACAGCTCTGACAAAAAAATTAAAAATCTTCAATTGAAATGACCCTGTTTACTACTTTGGTCCTTTTAATTTAATTATTTTAGTTATTTTATATACAATAACGTAAACCTATCATTTTACCATTTTAAAACTAGTCAAAATTTGATTTGACTTTTTGTCAACTAATAATCAAATGGATGAACTGCCACTAAATTAAAGGTTTGAGACTGTAAATGATACAAAATAAAATTTAGAGTAAAATTTGCTAAAAATGAAAGATTTAGAACCATAACTGCGACTATCCCTTATCTTTATTACAAAGATTTTATTAAAATTTACTAGCCTTGAGCATGTTTTCTTAGCTCATACTCTTGGCAGTACATATTGTTTATTTTCGTCCTACATTTTCCCCTTTTATGTCTTTATCAAATGAAATGAATATGGATCATTCAATATGACTACAATCACTAGCGGATTCAAGAATGTTGGTGAGCTAGAGAAGCTGTTGATCGTTGACCATTAACGACCGCAATAACGAGATCGTTTATTAATATTCAATTAAATTAAAATGAGGCAAAGAAATTAAGATTAATACATTAAGTTTCATTAAATAAATAAAAAATATACAATGTTTAATTATATAGATACATATGTGCACATTTATTAGTAATATAAGTAAGTTTATCAGCAATTACGATTCTCAAAATTTTGGATGTAAGAGCTAAAAAGTAAAAGTATAATACAAAAACCCGTTATGCTTTTCTTGATTGTGCATGGCTCCCTCTCTGCAAAGATATTCCTCCATTCAACATCACCAACTAGAAAGAGATGATTATTAACAATGCAATCCTCAAATGAGAGTTAATTGTTATCTCAGATCAACATTTTTACATATACCAACACATTGGAATTATAATCTTATCACTCGAAAAGCGCAATTAAAAAGGTATACCGAACAAGTTCAACAATTAATGAAGAGGGAATAAAAAATGAATGAAGCTTCTTTACCAGAATGATTTGACAAAAAGCTTGATATAATTGCATGTGTCAATTATTAATTGGATGAAAAAGTTGACTGTATTTTAAATTGTCCAATAATAGAATGCCACATTACATTATGTCAAACTTTATGTCAATATTGATGTTAATGTAACATGATTGATAAAAAATATAATTTCCAATCCGTAAAAGATTTAGCTTTACTTCTTCATTTTATACTGTCAAAAAATGAAATGCCCAGCATAAAACTGATGAAAAACAAGCTAAAACATTATTATATTAATAGAAGACAACACAAGAAAACTAAACCATTCTTAAAATGTTTAATTTCTTGATTTTCCGGGCAGCAAAATTCCAAACATGTAAGTATCGTAAAAGATTAAGATTGGAAAAAAGGAAAATAAATAAATCAGCATAAAAATGGGTGAGTAATGTAAAAAATCAAGAATTTAACAAAATTAAAAAAATAAAAATGCCCAAGACAAAGGTCTACAAATTCTTAAAAAGATAAGCCCCAAATCCAACAAACTATCTTCCCTCATCATCCATCCGGTTCAAACTTCCCGGCAACTGCAAATTTGCAAAAATGGCAAGTTCCAGCTAATAAATTCCGGCACAGCCAACAAGGGCGGCCACTCCACCTCGCTAGTTGCTAGCTCCACCATTGACTACAAGTAGTTCTCAAAATGAGCTTCTAAACAAGCGTTTTGTGAATTCGGATTGTATAAAATCATCGATAAATTTTGAAAATTAGCATATTATCAAAATTCTTAAAATACTAATTTGAAATAACTTACTTTAATGCGTTGTAACTTTTGTCACTGTTGATCGTTTCACACACCATTAACGAGCGAAAAATCAAACCACAAGCATTTCGAAATGATATTAAAAATGCAATATTTCTACTTCATTTCGCATCAATTTACTATAGTAAATCGTAAAGGGATCAAAACAACTATTTTCTAAAAAAAATAAAAAATTGTGGGGATAATTTGACCCCACATGACCCCCATGTTAATCTACCCCTAGTTTTGACCCTATAAATACAAGAGGGTTGAAAAATAATACTCGTTAAGTAAATTATTTACGAGTTACGGTCTAATGTCTCTAATTCACCAAAAGATTCATTGAGATCTGAACTCTAACCAATTTAGAAAATTATTCAAACTTAACTTTTTCAAAGCCAACATTGAACTGGTAAAAACTCTCTTCGTACCCAAAAAAAAGTATCATTTGAAAGAGACTCCTAACATACTCCCCAAAAGGCCAACAAGAAATCACAGACAGCTCACACAATGTTTTCCCAATCTTCAGTCAAAATCTCTGTTGCTTTCCCTTCACTTTATCACAATCTGAGCAGAGCATCCACTGAATCATGTTTTCTAATCTCCATCTCCACACAAAGAAATGTCAAGAGTTTGCCATTCGAGGATAAATTACAATAACATCAAGCTAGAAATTACATAACTATTTTACCTGATCAAATAATATTTACATTATCAAAGTAAAAATTCTAAAACATCTCAACTTGAAAGAGGACTAGGCCTACTTTGGCTCCATCCAATAACAAACCTAATGTCATTCGTCGTAATGAATTAAAAAAAAATATATATATATTGTTTACCTTCTTTAATTTCATTCTTCTCTTTGGGTTTTCCAGTTTTCGATTATCTTGGACCAGAAAGCTCCATGCAATGCGCATCATATTCATCATCCATCGACATTGTTATCCCAAACATGCTTGAATGGTCGTGATCATTGTCATCGTGTCCAAAGGCCATGGTAGGGCGTGACTTGCTATTTTCCCGGGAAAAACTGGTAGTGGTATTGATATAGTTATGGGAGGCTGCCCATTTTTCTGCAAGACCATCGCCTTCCAGCATTCGGACAACCTCGGACATTTTGGGACGATGGGCTGGTAGGTATTGAGTACAAAGTAGAGCCACCTGCAGCATCTCACCCACCTCAATCCTGTCATAATTGATCCCCAACTCTCTATCCACCAACAATTCGATTTTCTTCTCTTGATGTATCTTCTTAACCTGCAATTGCACAAGTTCCAATTTTCTCTGTTAACTTTCCTTATTTTTTAACCACATTCTCCAAAAAAAGTCACTTTTTAAATAATCACCTTCACACAAGGCACTTTGGCATTTCACACATTAGAAAATGTTCCAACATCAAAGTACATAATGATCAAAGAAAAAGACGTACCCATTCCAGTAACGCTCCTTTCTGGTTTACTGACTTCCCAAACTCCAGAGCTCTCATTCCAGTTATAAGCTCTAACAAAAGAATGCCAAATCCAAAGACATCAGTTTTCTCAGATGATTGGCCAGTCGAGAGATATTCTGGCGCAATATGTCCAACAGTACCACGAACAGCAGTTGTGACGTGGGATTCAGCATGATCAAGGAGCTTCGCAAGGCCAAAGTCACCAACAACAGCCTCACAGTAGTCATCCAAGAGGACATTTGCTGCTTTAACGTCTCGATGAATTATCTTAGGATCACACTGCTCATGCAGATATAGTAAACCCCTTGCAGCTCCAATCGCAATTCTCTTCCTCGTGTTCCAGTCGAGAGATGGTTTACCTGAAATCATTAATTTAAGACATGGGGTTGCAATATGAAAAGTAAACAAGACTTCCTCACGCATAAATTTAGTTCATGTTTTATACACGGTATTAGATAATACATAATAGTACATTGGCTTCTTATTTAACATATACAGAGACATTTGCTGCTTTAAGGTCTCGATGAATTATGTCAGGATGAAATTTAGCACATGTTTTAAACATGTCACTAGTGTGCGCCAAATGATAGCCTTGCTTGAGACATAAGTTGTTAATTCAATAGAATATTAACCTAGCAAGTTTTTTAAGGGTAGAAAAATAGACAGCATTTTCACAAATTTTGGGCTTATCGCATATGAAGATTTGTACTTGTATGACTATTTATTTGATTAATGTAGCCTTAAGAGTTTTGTTTAACTTTTTCCTCCTAAGATCGAGATTTTTGTGCAACAATGTTACAGGACACAAGATAGAGGAGTATTAAAACTTAATCAATAATGACGAAACTTTTGACTTTCCAATTTCTGATAAAATCCTGTGTACTAGATTGGTTTCCTGTTCTTGCACTGGCTTGAGGCCCTGAACTAGAAGTAGGCTTATTCACCCCCCACCCAGGTACATTCATAGGAGAGTTGAAAACTTCCTAACAAGAACATTAAAGGAACACAATATTGGTATAGTAACAATAGGCCATATGCAAGCTTGTAAACAGGTTCTAACCTCTAAGCCTCGATGCCACACTGCCGTTAGACATGTAAGGATACACAAGAAGTCTCTCGTTCGGTGTGGCACAATATCCAACAATGCGGAGCAAATTCCGGTGAACTGCTAGGCTGATCAGTTCTAGTTCAGTTCTAAATTGTGATTCCCCAGCAGTTCCCGTCACATCCTTCAGTCGCTTCACTGCCACCAACGTGCCGTCCCCCAACTTCCCCCAGTAAACATTTCCAAACCCCCCGGAACCAAGTATATTCTTAGAGCTGAAATTATCCGTTGCATTTTGTAGCTCCCTGAATGTGAAGCCTCTAAGGTTGCCCAACTTTACTAGGTCCTCTTCTTGCATATCTGCAACAAAATTCACTTTTACAAAACAAAACCGATCGAAAAGATGTTTGAAGAAAACATAATCTATTATATCATATCACATTTACATTTGAAGAGGGAAGCACTCACCAGTAATGTATAGAATTGACTGCTTTATCTTGTTGTTTCGTCTCCAGACCAGATATCCTAATGCTAAGAGTAAAATGGAGACAACACTAAGGCTGACTCCGAGTGCAATTGCTAGTTTCTTGGATTTGTTTTTTCCTAGAATGTTGCAGGAATGTGAGTATTAGAGACATAATTAGGGTCTTTTCACTTGAACATATGCACACAGAATGAATCATTAGATTACCTGAAGACGAATTTATGGAGAAGGAAAGAGGGTTGGCCAGGATTAATGCAGAACAATTTTCATTGGAGTGGCTTCCACAAATTAGTGGATTACCCAAAACACTACACCAAAACAACCAAAAAAATAAAAATAAAAAGTACAAATAAACTAGTAAATTATACGTTAATAAATGAATACATACAAACACACTTGTTCTACATGAATGTCTTAAATGAACAGTTGCCATACAATTATATTTGACTATAGGTACTGTCATGTCATATATGTTATCATAAGTACAGAGAATAAAACATACATAAATGTTTTGGTAGGAAAGCTGGGAAGAGGTCCACTGAGATTGTTGTAGGACAAGTCCCTGGAAAATCCAACAAAAACAAAACAACCAATAATTCACTTGCTCGACCAAAATCTCTATATGATTCAGAAAATGTAGAAATTATAATTAGAAAACAATTTAGGGCGATACGTGTAAAGTATGATTAGGCTCCAATAACTAAGGAAAATGCCGAGCTGCCAAAAGGATTTTGCCCACTGTTTTGACAGATACTCACATGTTAATGGGACTCGCGCCGACCCCACACGAATAAAAAATGTAAAAAATTCCACTCCATCCACCCCGACTGTGAGGATCTGTTACCTGGGGTGTCAATTCTCTTCTGGCACCCCAGCATGGTCCAATAACTAAGCAACCAACAACAAAAACCAAATTTTAAGGTCTTACAAAAAAATGAACAGAACAGTACTCACAAGAAAGTAAGTTGAGGTAGCCTGGTTAAAGACAGAGGAATAGCCCCACTGAAACTATTATTGTTCAACCTCCTGCTCATTACATGACAAATCACAACAATAGACCGTACAAACAAAGTCAAAGAAAGAGATGGCACATAATATGAGTTATACATAAAAGAACGAAGCAGAAACTTTTAATTTTGCTAGATATAGCCGTGGAAAATTTCATACTTACAGATATTGAAGACCATTCAAGAAACCAAAAGACTCAGGTATATGACCAAAAAACTTGTTATTGGAGAGATCTAGTGTATGAAGTTTTGGAAGATTTCCGAGCTCACCCCACACGAATAAAAAATGTAAAAAATTCCACTCCATCCACACCGACTGTGAGGATCTGTTAGCTGGGGTGTCAATTCTCTTCTGGCACCCCAGCATGGTCCAATAACTAAACAACCAACAACAAAAACCAAATTTTAAGGTCTTACAAAAAAATGAACAGAACAGTACTCACAAGAAAGTAAGTTGAGGTAGCCTGGTTAAAGACAGAGGAATAGCCCCACTGAAACTATTATTGTTCAACCTCCTGCTCATTACATGACAAATCACAACAATAGACCGTACAAACAAAGTCAAAGAAAGAGATGGCACATAATATGAGTTATACATAAAAGAACGAAGCAGAAACTTTTAATTTTGCTAGATATAGCCGTGGAAAATTTCATACTTACAGATATTGAAGACCATTCAAGAAACCAAAAGACTCAGGTATATGACCAAAAAACTTGTTATTGGAGAGATCTAGTGTATGAAGTTTTGGAAGATTTCCGAGCTCATTGGGAATAAGCCCAGAAATATTGTTATTTTGCAACAATCTGCATCAGAAAAACATGGCAATTTCAGAATGGAGCCACAGCGTTTTTAAAATTTACTCTAGTAATTAATGTTTGCCAGTTTTCTTACACTTGTTTCAGGTTCGTAAGGTTTGCTATCCTCCAAGATAAAGAACCTGATAAACCTTGGCTAGGAGCTCCTCTGTGTCATATATGTTAAGAATCAAGGACAAGGACAAAAAAAAATGGCGGGTCGATTTTGTATATGAAAACCCTGAAATTAAGCTGAAAACATAAAGACTTACATGGCAGTGACGACATTATCAGAGTTGCAAGTGATCATAGACCAACTACAGGGATCCACCGAATTTTCATCCCAATTGCCAAGAACTCCATGAGGATCATTTAAAGCATCCCTTATAGCAATCAAAGCTTCAACTACAACCCACCAAAAAAAAATTAAAAATAATTAAAAAATAATAGAATAAAATTAGTGTTGTAAATATTACTTTTATGAAGGAAAATTTGTTCAGTGTGTAGTGGGTACCTTCAGGATTTCGGCCCTCATACGCAAAGGAAAGACTGAAGAAAACCGATAGCAAGGAAAGGAGGAGAAGGGTGTTGCTTGATATCAGGGACATGATTTTCCAGTGAAAATTATGTATGAAACACCTTATCCAGTGCTAAGAAAGAAATAATAAAGCCAAACAACACACAACTACTAGTGATTCACATTCAAGAAATACAAGGTCATGATCAAGAAAACTTATGGAAAGAAACAACAACAGGAGTGTCTTACAGTTGTTTCAGAAAGAACCCGTACATAGACTCTCTCTCACACACACACACACACACACAAACAGAGAGATTAGCTCGCGCTCTCTGCTTTTTACAAAGTGGCCATCTTTCAATTTTGAACCCACTTGAATATTTTTACACTGCTTTTTTCTTCTCCAGTCCTTTCCCTCTTAAATGTGTAGTGAATATAGAGTATTGTGGAGGGATACAAATATGAGGAGAGGGGTGAGAGGACTGAATGAAAAGAGCGCGCTAGTTGTGCCTCTGTACCTTAAAGTGTCTGCATATGTGTGTTTCTTTGTTTCATAACTTTTCCTTTTTCCCTAATCTTTTTCTTTGTACAATTTACATGCTATTTAGATTTCTCTTCATAGTTTTTTTTTTCACGACTTTTGTATGGGGCTGTGTGTGTTTTTTTGTGGGTTCTCAACTTGAGCTTTTTGCTTTTTCTCACTTTTTTAATTTGCTATTTTTCTGCTACTGTGTGAATGTGAGAGAGAAAGAGAATCAGGTGGGGGCTGATATGGAGATGTCAGTGACAGGGAGAGGTTAGAAGCTCAGAATTTGAGAGTGACTGCAATTTGCCATGGGATTAATTATCTCTCTGCAAATACACTAAGCTATCACTCAATCTCTCTGATCACTCAAGAATGAAGAGATAAAGAGAAAAAAGAACCGTAGATGAAGGCAGCTTATAATGACAAATTCAAAGAAAAGATGAATGATCTTTGTCCCATTGCACTCAAGAAAGGTCAAAAAAGGATAACTCCCCTCTTGATATCGTAATGATTCAATAAGAAGGGAACGCCTTACATTAGCAGGGACAGTCATCACTTCACGTTCTTGTTTTGATTAGACGAAGATGCAGAAAATTTTGAAACCTTATGGTCTGGATTCATTTTGAGTCAAATGCTTTGGATCTTTAAATCTTTTGAATTGTTTGATCTTTATGTCCAAGAATATTCGAAGTGGTTGTACTCGAAATTTTGATTAATATATTTATTTATCCGATAAAAAAATAAAGGGAAAAGGAATTAGTTTTGTAATGAAAAGCTCAAGTGGAAAAAGGGTACATAGCAAGAAATGCAATGAAATTGGGTTTTGGGAATTGATGTGAGATTCAAATCCCAGTTGTGTTTGCTGCAGAATCTATGTGTTTTTGTTCCTTTTGATACTAAAGATTGGACTACACAGTGCCTCTCTTCCAAGTTCACAACAACCCCTAATTATTACTGCTCCTGTCTTTTCTTGTTTTTCACTCTATTTTAGAAAAATATAAATAAATAGCTTCTTGCTAAGGTCTTTTCTCATGTTCGGAAAGAGTATTTTAATTGAAATTAAACCTTCAAAATTTATGTGCAACTAAGTCGTCGTTTTGAGTTCCGTTATTTGAAAAAAATGAATTTTTCAACAGTGTTTTAACATGATTTCAATCACATATTTTTCAATAAAATAGTATTACACGTAAATTTAAATTTTTTCTTTATTTTATAATTATATATTTTTCATCAATACACTATTAAAAAAAAAAAAAATTCCCCTAGAACGAGGCTCAAACAAAGGCGAAATAGCACTATTTAATGAATGATTCTGATTCTTGAAATTTTGAACAAATCGGCCTAACGTTCACTCGTAGCTTTGTAGATTAAAAAAAGTTATCTTTAATTAAAGCAACATGGTCCAATGAGGATGGTAGTTTTTAATTTTTTTTTTTTTTTTTTTTTTTTTTTTTTTTTTTTTTTTTTTTTTTTTTTTTTTTTTTTTTTTTTTTTTTTGTTTTTTTTTTTTTTTTTTTTTTTTTTTTTTTTTTTAACATTAATCATGCCATACATTTTTGTTTTACTAAAAATATTTGGAGTAAAAGAGAAAAGACAGGTGAAGAATAAGAATTTAGCTGGTTCAATAATAAATCAACTGCAGTAAAAATATAATAACCATGTAGGATTAAATTTTTTTACACAAATCAAACTCATTATAATAAATGTCATTGTGCACCATGTGCCCCGTTTGGTAGCCATTTTTTTAAAATACGTTTTTTTTTCTCTTTTTTTTAACCACACATTCTTTATTAAAATAATATTACACGTAAATCAAAAACTTTTCCTTATTTCTCAATCATACATTTCACATCAATTTACTATTCTAAGATATATTTTTACATAAAAATGCCTATCAAACACCCGAATGTCAAAAATCATATCTTACATTTTTTTTTAAGAGCTACAATGCCTAAACAAGCTAAAGCAATCAAAGAAAAGAGTCGTACGAGTTGAGTTGTCGAACAATAGTCAAAGCATCAAGTGAGATTAAAGTTTGGGATTCAATAGATTTGTTTCTTTAGCTATTTGACCAATAGAATCTTTCATGGTATTTAGTTATTGATGATTTTTATTAGTCATTTTCACCTAAACGTGAATCGTAGTACTAGGCAATATTTTTTTTTTTTCCCTGGAGGCCCTAGTACTAGGCAATATTCAAAGACTTATCTATCGAGAAAGACAAAAATAAAAATGTTGAAACAATTGGAGAATCTTATCAACAATATCTATGGGATGAGTAATTATTTTGTTGGTCGTGATCTTCATTCTTCAACATTTAAAAATTTCTATTTTTTTTTTTTTTAAATTTTTTGGTAAGAGCTACAATGTCTAAATAAGTTAAAACAGCAAAAGAAAAAGAGTTGTACGAGTTGATTTGTTGCACAATAGTCAAAGCATCAAGTGAGATTAAAGTTTGGGATGCAATAGATTTGTTTCTTTAGCGATTTGACCACTAGAATCTTATATTGTATTTAGTTATTGATGATTTATTAGTCATCTTCACCTAAACGTGAATCGTAACACTAGACAATATTCAAAGACTTATCTATCGAGAAAGATGAAAAAAAAAAAAATAGTTGAAACAATTGGAGGATCTTAACAATATCTATGGGACAATAATTATTTTGTTGGTCAAGATCTTCATTCTTCAACATTTTAAAATTTCTATTCTACAATTTTGAGTCTTTTTTTTTTTTTAAAGAATTACGCACAATTTCACCGCTCTCTACCTTTTTTCTATTTTTACTTCATAACCACTGGAATGATGACAAGTCTCTGCAACCAAATTAAATCCAAAGAAGTCTCATTTCACCGCTCCACCAGAAATTCCATCTACCCCTATCGTACTCCAGCTTGGTAGTTTCCACCGCTTGTCGAGGGTTGAGCCCTGGAATTTGACGACGGACTTAAAAAGTCACCTACAGTCGCTTTTACTTAAAAGGACTACCCTCAGTGCAACGTACTCTTTCTTGAATTATTTCCATCACAGCATCATGAACGGATCATCCAAAGAAAAAATTAGAATAACTTAAAACTTCACATAGAATAAAAGACGACCATTCGAGTGAAAATCTTTTATTATCATCCCAATATTTTGAACTATTGTTTCTTAAAAGTAAGTGATGCATGGGAATTGGCAAATCGATATCTTCGTGGAAGTGCGTTTATTCTTCCATGCTGTAGTAGAAGTGATTTTGCCTTTGAATTCGATAATTTTAAATTTAAGAGCCATAAAAAGCATAAAGCAAATTCGGATTCCAATTCAAAAGCAAAAGTAGCCATTGGCACCCCACTCTCCATACTAATCACTTATTTTGGTTTCTACTTATTTTTATTTATAGTGCTGCTTTTTGAAGCACGTCGGTCCATGTGCATAATAGTCATATGAGAGTGGAATCCAAAGCCATAGGAGAAAAAAGATTTATTGGAAGATTTAAGGGTTAAGTGGAATTCATTAATAAAATTATCAATCAATCAGTCAGGTAATAATTGTAAATTCAGTGCTGCATCATTATTCATTACGAAGGATAAATTGACTGCTAATAGTAATTAACTATTATTTCTCACCCAATCTCTAAGCATGGAAATTGGGCTTTAACGTTTAAGCCCGATTTGGCGGATATTAAAATTAATTTAATCACACATTTTAAAGAATTCATAAATTTTTAACAATATAATTAATTTTTTTTTTATCAAAATCGACTAAAAATTTGATTTTAACCAACAAATATGGGATTTAATTCCTTGATTCGTCACTAAACTTTACATAAGGTTAATAAGAAGCCACTGAACTTATAAAGTTTCTCCTTAAGTCATTGAACTAATGGGGAAATTTTTGAAGTTAATGACCGATCAGGAAAAAAAATTAACGTTCAATGACTAATGGGTATCTTTTGAAGTTTGGTTACGAATAGGGAAACTTTTGAAGTTCAATGGCTCCCTGAAAATCTTATTTTTGTGACCAATCAAGTAATTAGTCCTCATGTTTTTTAAATTTTATTTTATTTTTTTTAATCTTTTTCTTCCTTCTTCATTTTTTTTTTTTGGGTACTCCTACAGTCCTACCCCACAATTTTATTCTATCTAGCATCGCCAAATTTAGAAAAACTAACAGCAATTTATCTCGAGATAACTAACAAGTTTGTCTGCTAACCTCTCTAAAATTAAAGAGGCAACAGGGGTCCATGCAACCAATTATTTTGAAAGAGAACCCTTTTAACATTGATCACTTAATACCGGTGTTCTCAATGCCAGGCTAGCCGAAGCTTTAAGTTTTATGAGCTTAAGTGAGTCTAGGCGAGGTTTAGGCATAAAAAAATGTTTTTTTATTTATAATATTGTTTTAAAACTTTAATCATTTTAAAAAAAAATTTAATAAATAAAATAATACATATTAAACATCTAAAATTATAAAATACAATATTTTTACTTAATAACTTATACTATTAGTCAATTATACAATTTTCAAGTTTTCGAAATGCAAAAATTAGAATATTTTCATAGTTTCAATTTTCAACTAGGCAAGTCCTACTTAATAGATGTATAATAGATACATGTTTTCGGAGTTGATAATAAAATGAGTCTCAAGGTCATAATTACATAACGCATATAACACCAAAACTTAAATCTTATTTAGTTATTTAGATAAAGTCATTTTTAACTTTTAAATAGATAAAATCTTTTAAAAACTTGAAATTAAAGTCAAATGAAAGTTTTTAATTTTTATTTAAAAAAAAAAGCTAAAGTCAAATAAAAAACATAAAAAAAACTAATAAAGCACGCCTACGGAGGACGAAAGAAATGAATAAAAACATAAAAAATAGTAAAAATGGGGGGTAAATTACCTGGTTGGTTATTGAACTTTATGTAAGTTTTTCAGGGTGTACCGAACTTTAAAAGTTCCCCCGTTAGTCACTGAACTTCAAAATTTCCTCGTTAGTCACTAAACGTTAATTCCATAATTGATCATTGAGTTTTGCATAAAATTCCCAAGGCTCACTAAACTTTATAGAATGTAATCTCATCTACCATTCATTTACTGATGGAATTATATTTTGTAAAGTTCAGTAAGTAATAGAAAAACTTTATAAGTTCAATAATCATCTGAAAACGTTGCGCAAAGTTCATTGGGAATTAACCCCCCAATAGGAGCTAAATGTAAATGGTGCTCTAATGAATTCTAAATCCACAAAACAATAAGCCACCAGTACAAGATATTATTGCACAATTCCTTGCACCTTTTTCTTGTGGCCAATTTGCACAACAGGGTATATTAGAGTTTGGTAAATTGAAAAATATTGATTTTTGTTTAAAATTGTATAATTACAACAAGAGATGGTGCTTAA